CCTCCCCCCCCCTCCCCTTCGCCGCGCCGGTCGGACCTCTCCGCACACACACCGCGTCGCGTCGGATACCTGGCCGCGCGCGCGGTGGCATGCGCTGCTGAATCACTTTCACTTATGCCGTGCGCTGTGTTGGTTATACTCCGCGCTCGCACGCTCGCGCGCGTCTCGCTCGCTCTACCCGCGTCGTTGATCCTCTCTCTCTCTCTCTCTCTCACTCTCGTTTCCTCCTTCTCGTCACTCGCTCCTCTCGGCGTCTCGCTGCCCGTCGGTAAAGGGACACGCGCGCCTTCTCTCCTCTATACCCACCGAAACGTCGAAGGAGCCTGACAGTAGTGCGCGCCTCGGCACCGTTCTCCGTGGCACAGTTTCGCGTTCAATTTTCCGACCGTCCGTGTACTCGCCGTTGTATATACTTGTCATCATCGTCTTCGTCCTCCCCGTTCGGCTAAACGGCGCGTCATTCTCGGGGTGTCGTCGCGTCAATGAACGTGTCGCTGTACAGTTTTCGGAAAAGTGCGCCCGCTGACAAGTAACGTGTAATATAATCGCGGTCGCCGCTCACGTTATCGTGAGACCGAGAGTGATCGCGCGGCGTGAGAATCTGACAACAGCAACTACCAGCGATCGTCATCAATCCGGTATACCCGGACGACGCGTCTCACAGGGGAACCACGTATTATAGATCCCCTCGTCGTGGATCGTCCTCATCGTCGTCGTCGTCGTCGTTGACGACGTCGTTACCACCGCGCGCTCGCGGCGATACGTCACGTATGCCGTGTCTCGTAAAGGCGGCCTCCCCGGCGGTCTCTACCTACCTACCTACCTACTCCATGTGTCGACGGTAGGGCAGCGGAGGGGAGGGGGCGGGCCCTTCGGGAAAGCAACGAGCCGAGAGGACAACTAGTCGTACGCAGATAGGCGAGCTGTCAAGTCACGTTGATCGGCTCCGATTCTAGAGTCGCTCGCTCGCTCGCTCGCCGGTACGTTAGTCATCCGAATTATAGTGCGTGTGTTCGCGCCTCTCTTCCTCCGTTCGCGATAATACATTCGCGATTACGTCGCACGTAACGACCCGCCGTGTTTGTTGACAGTCGTGCACTGGTATCTCTCGTATATATATATACCTATATACCGTGGCGGCGGCGGACTCCTCGTGTCATCGCAACCGCGTGTGTGCCCGTCCCATCTGCCGTCATCATCCGTGGTGCACGCCGGACGTACGTTACGCGGATGGACGTATTCGTCAGCGTACTGCGCGAGTCTCGTCATTCGCATCGTGCTCGGCGATAAGTTGGATTACAGTGCGGACAGGAGAGGAAACGACTGCTTGAAAAAAAAAAAGAGGGGGGGGAGCACCTTGGTGCGTTTGCCGCGCTCGGCTGGAGAGCCGATTGCCGTTTCGACAGTGTGGCGAATGTTCGCGCGGATACGCTCGACGATTATTATCATGCCTCGGACGTAGTCCCGTCGACGACTCCGACTGCTGACAGCTCTGTGTATCCACCGCGTATAACGTTTCGTTGGTGCGCGATGATGGTTTACCTCGGTAAACTTGTGTAATCATCCGCGGGGTGTATTGGTGTGTGCGTGCGTGCGTGCGTGCGTGCGTGCGTGTGGGTGTGCGTGTGTGTGCGAAAGAGAGAGAGAGAGAGAAAGAGAGAGAGAGAGCGAGAGAAAGAGAGCGCGATCGATATTATTATTCGTGCCACAGGGAATCGAAGTCGAGTGTGTGTTCCCTCGTTCCGTACTCCACGCGGAGAAGGACTCTCCTCCGCGCTACGACGAATTGTGCCGGCGTCTTCTTCGTTGACGTCAACGTGCTCAGCGCGGGTGCTCCAGGTTACTTTTAACGCGAAACGTTAACGCCAATAACGCAACCGCCGAAAGGATCGGGAGCGATGTCCCGACCAACTGAACCGAACAGATAGACCCAAATCTATATCCAAGTTTGTCGTACACCCTTGACATCCCGAAGAAATCAGCCCGAGTAGCGTGTACACACAGCGTGTACACACAGCGCAGGGTGATAACACTCGCGCAACGTGCTCAGAAATTCGCTGAGAAAGACAGTCCAGGAAGAGAAGAGAAACGTTAAAAGAGAGAGAGAGAGAGAGAGAAAAAAGGAGATCGAGGAAAGACGAACGAATCGAAACAATCGTCGCGTCGGCTGCATCTGAGAGGGTGGGTGGGGAGGGGTCGAGGGGGGTGCTTAAACAGCCCCGTTTCATATATGTGCCGATACGTGGGCACGTCCGTCCGTCGTGCGGTGTTTCTCGCGTATGGGTGATATGTTATTGGAGATGGAGCAGCATTCGGGCCTGATATCCCTGAGCATGTCGCCGTTCCACCTGAGTCCGCAGGGCAGCCCGCAAGCCGCCGGGCAGCAGCCCCCGCAGCAACAGCCGCAGCCGCATTACGGCTCGTCGGCTTACAGTAGTTGCGCGCAGAGCTCGCCATCGCCTATGTGCCATCAGCCGCAGTCCCAATCGCAGCAGCAGCAGCAACAACAACAACAAATGTCTGTTCACAATCAGGCGGCACAGTCGCAGGGTATGTCCAGTTTCGAGGCCGCCTTCTTCGACTCCGCTCCCCTCGAGGATCTTCGGTGTCCCATGTGCGGTCACAAGAACATATCCAACTATCAGCTCGGCCTGCAAGGTCTGCTCACGTGTGAGAACTGCAAGAATTTCTTCAAGCGCAACGGCTCGCCGTGCAGCAACAAAAAGGTCTACACGTGTCTTTTCCCTCAAACGGCGAGTAGCGGCGGCGGCGGTGGTGGCAACGGCGGTGGCGGCAATAGTGGTAACGGGGGTAGTGGCGGCGGCGGCGGCGGTGGTGGTGGCGGCGGCGGTGGTAACTGCGGCGCGTCTTCGGCGCTCGAGATCTGCGCCAACAAGAAGGTGTATACGTGTCTGTTCCCGCCAACAGGAGCCGGAAGCGGTAACGGAGCCTGCGGCGGCACATCCACCAGTCTAGAAGGTAACGGCGGCGGAGGCGGTTACACCGGCAGCGGTGGCGGCGGCGGCGGGAACGGCGGCGCCGGTGGCAACGGCAGCGGCACTGCCGGAGCTGGTGGTCCAGGCGCGGCTAACGCCACGGTCAGCGGCGGACCGGCGACTGTCGCGGGAAGTGGCAACGTCGCCGCCGGTGCGGTCCCGACCGGCGGCGGTACCCTGTGCCACCCTGGACTGGGCCAGGTCGGCGTCGTCACCGGCTCGATACCCTGCCCGTCCGATTTCCCGGACACCAAGGATATCATCATCGAGGAGCTGTGCCCCGTGTGCGGCGACAAGGTGTCCGGTTATCACTACGGTTTACTCACGTGTGAGTCCTGTAAAGGATTCTTCAAGCGCACCGTCCAGAATAAGAAGGTCTACACGTGCGTCGCTGAGAGGTCCTGTCACATCGACAAGACGCAGCGGAAACGGTGTCCCTACTGCCGCTTTCAGAAGTGCCTCGAAGTCGGCATGAAGCTCGAAGGTGAGTCCTTTTCTACTTATCGAACGATTATTACGGATTATATGCGAACGGTCGAGTAACGAAATCGTATTCCAAGGTGATTTTCCTTCTGACGTTCTCTACCACGTGGACAAAAATATTTTCTTTGCATTCGCTGTTTGTTTGGCGTATATATCTATTTTTCAATATGTAAATATGCGGACTGATAAAAAGGTCATTTTCAGTGTAAACTAAAAAAAAATTCCATACTAAAAATACGTGACGATTATATAGTAATGAAATTACTATGACAGAAAGAAACAACAGCGATAAAAATCATTTTGTGTTTGCTCGATGCCATCCACAATACATAATTTGAGAAATGTCTCCGATAATTATGTACTGTGGTGTCACATTGAAAAACGACCTCAGCGAAAGAAAAGATATATTTTTTTTCAAGTTGCGACATATGTTTGTGGTGGAGAGATTTTGTTTTTTAATAGTAAAAGATGTGTTGAACAAAGGAAAGATTCGAGTCCAATAACGAACATTTAAAAATGCATTAACGTAATGTGTTTATTCCCGAAAAAGTATAATAATACAAATGTTTCTATTTACCGAACCTTCGTCGGTCAAAAATAAAGAATTATAACACTGCGTGTAAAATAAACAATAAAAACGAGAAAGTCAATAAAAAGGAAAACGGAGAAGGATGTAACGTAAGATTGTACCGCGTAATAACGAGAAAGAGTAAAAATACATCTTTGTCTCTTATTGGATAAATAAACAGCGGAAAGTGACTAATTATAGCGAGGCAAAATATTGGTATAATAACGACACATATTTAGATGTACATACGCAAAAAGTTGTCTGAAAATTGAACCAATTAATTGAATGACACGAGAAATGAATATAGATTTGTAACTCATTATGTAGATAATATCTCGCGAGAGGATTTTATCGACGGGTATCTGTAATATAAGCATTGTTTTACGTGCATACGCACAGCCAGAAAAAAACTTATTGAATCCGATTAGATACACTCAGTGCACACTGGTGAATATTAAAACCGTCGCGTACACACAAATTGATGTAAAGACGATGTCTAACATAAATCTAGAAACCGATTAAAATCGTGAAATTCTCAATACATTTTTTACACCGTCGAGAGTAAAATATATGTGTTTTACAATTCAATATTTACATTTGCACTTTACTTTTACACTTATATTGAATTAGTGTACATTAGTTTTAATTTTTCCAAATTTTATGTGTTTATACAATATAAAAGAGTGTACTGCAAAAAAAAAAATACGATAGAATTAATTCCGATCAATAAATTGTATGAAGAAGATTATCGTCTGAATCGCGATATTTGATAACAGTGTAACATTAATGTGCCTTACATATAACTGATAACGGTTTAATAATACGCGCAACAAAATGCACATCGATAAACGTTACTGAACCGTGCCTCTTACAAGTTCTCGTCAAATCCGAAAGTCTCATTCTGAAAAAAAACGTTGATGTGCATCTTTATGCACGTACTCGTATATCAAACCTGCACTTGTCGTTCTCAGCAGCACACGAATAGCGAATTTGTCATCACCGGACACATAAAAGTTTCTTTCATTGTTATAAAAGGAATCTATGAATATATCTAATTCCGCGCGAGTACGTAATCGCACGTAACGTATATCTCGCACACCGTGCGCGTCACATCATTTTAATAAATTCCCATTTTACTTTCACCAGACGAAAGCGATGTTTTTCCGCCAATAACGGTTCGGTGTCACCGGCGTTATTATCATGTTTTATGTTATCTTCTGTCGAATATCTCCGCGCGCGCGCTCGTGCCACTAACCGCACGTCAAAAGCCGTTTACGCGCGTGTTCGATTATCGTCGTCGTCGTCGTCGTCGTCCGGACTCGGTTCTCATCAGCGCGACGCTCGGGCGTTTTCGCACCACGCTCGTACGAACTTAACCTTATTACACACCGTGGAAGCGATTAACCAAGTCACACCGCGTGCTCCCTTTCGCCGTTTTAAAGCTCGGGAATGCGCGCTCGACGAAGCGATGGCCATCCATTCTACCTCTTATAGCCGCGAATCGATCGCGCGATATTCGAGTTGGAACGGAGAAGCGGTCGTTACTACACGCTGGACAAACGAAATTACGTCACGGTACAGCACTAGCAGCAACACAATTACGCGCCATTATCTACGTGCTTACGTTCGACCCCGTTAAAACTCTTGTGTCAACAATTTGTTTCTAATTAGCTGGCTTTGTGAGCTTCGATAGCGTCTATATATAGGCGAGATATACCGAAAAAAATATTAAATTTTAATAGCTACTTGTTTAAGTACTTCCAAGTAAATATTTATATTTAATAGGTGCTTGTTTAAGTACTTCCTAGTAAATATTTACTGAATATAAACGTATATATATTTATTTGTTACAGAAGCTATTGATTTGATTTAACCATCTTTTTTAAAGCAAATATTAATTTACTGTATGTTTACGTTCACTTAGTACTATTCGAAGAAATATATGTATCAAAACGTAGTATCTTTTTCTTCAGTGTGCATGTAATAATTTTTCCCACTCAAAGAAATATTTTTCTCTTCGTTATTAAATTATAGTAACATCTGATACGAATTACTCGACAATTTCATTATTTCTAATCTTATACCTTAATTCAAGATTAATTTATTAATACGGAATCACAGTTATGTGGATACATACACGCGCGCACATACGATGCGCGCAATACGTGTAATGAAATTAAATTGAATCGAGTTATAAACAGGCTAGTCCGATCGATGCTCCAATTTCGGCGCTTTCCGCCGCTCGCGATTGCGCATTCGTCAAGACGTGGAATCGAGACAAGACGAGAAATGCCGAGAAGTAGAGTTTGGTCGTAGCATCTAATGCAATCCGAGTAAGTGGGTCTAGGCCCTCAAGGCCCAACGATTAAGCGAATCTCGAAACAGCGTCTGTTGCAATTGCCGTGTCTTTGCACACCGTTTTCCACGGCGCGTTCCTACGACGGTAAACGGGGGAGATTGCTTAACGCGGAAAGTTTCCAGAGTGCTTGCGAGTGTTTACGAAAGGAAGTGGGGTTTCTTTTACCGATCTACGTTGCGTCTCTCACCGGTTTACAAAAGAAAAAGAAAACAAATTTCGCGCGAAGAGTGCGCGTAAAATGCGCCCGCCGAGAAATAAGGTATGAAACAATGAGTTACTTAAGGACAGCGAGGTCTAAAACATCAATCTCTATATGAAAGGTAATTAAGCCGAATTTATGTAGAACAAAAAAGAAAGCGAGGGAGGAGGGGAAGAGGAATAGCAGGAGAAATATATCATTGATGTCCGCTTTTATTTAATGTTTAATTTCGGGTTCAATTTTGACTTTTCTTTTTTTTCTCTAGTTATAAGAACTAGAAGAAGATGGATGAAGAGTAAGTTGAATTGAAATTAATTAAAATTAATCAACGTTAATATAAAATACGGACGTAAGTGATAATATTTGTTTATAATCACGACTGCCATTTCGTCACTGTAAAATGTAAGGAGCACAGAGTAACGGTTATTGTCTGCGACTTTTCCTTCTGCCGTTTTGTCGCCAGCTATGACGTTTCCGACATTTCACTTTCTCGTTGTTCGCCTCGGCGTTAACGAATTATTCCTACTCATCACCGAAAGCGGCGTTGTTTAACGCCGTTCGATTAATCATCGCGATTTTGAATAACGCACGAGCGCTTTCTCGAATAATTTTACAATGAAATCGTGGCTCGGTTTGTCCACCGATTTGTCCGTCGCCTTATACGAAAGAAAAAAAATGTCACGAGGCGCGAAAAGAGCTGGCGAGCAGCACACGTGTGGTAATCGCGCGATAACACCTGTCAAAGATTCGTGGCAAACTCGCCGGTTTCAACGACGCGTGAATATAAGGCTCGTTCGAGCTTCGTGAGCGATTTAAAAATTATTTCACTAGCAATAAAGCTAGACGAGGTGTTTGTATAGTGATTTCCGGGGCTCGTTAAAAGAAATATTCATTTATCCTAATAATTTATGCTGTATCTATTTATTTTAATTGATTATTAATAATTTATTTGGTATTATCGAAAATTAATTAGCTCGATAACGTATGACCTCAACATTTTTTCCAAGTTAACTTATATCTCGATAAAAAAGATCCAGTAATAAACATTTTTCAGCGCGTTAATATAAATTTGCAGTCCTTATTGTTAGTCGTTAAATAATAAAAAGTCAAACGCCTCCTATTTTGCATTATTCAGCATAGAATAAATTAAAATGGTCCGTAATTAAGAATGTTTTGAATTTTAATGGAAATCATATTTAATTGTTATTATTGTGACGCATTTACGATTGGTGATACTTTCGCAGGTTTTTCTTGCGAAAATTCTTATATATAAATGTAGCAAGAGGATGAAATTCCTTGCTCCCGGTATTATTCAACGTGTCGCGAAACATAGCGCGATTTTGCGCAATTTACAAGCAGCGCCGTATGTATGTGCAATAAAATATCAGCGCTCAGGTTTCAGTTTCGCAGGTGCGAACAATTTGCCCGACGATTAAATAAATGAGCTTACCTATTTTTATATCGATGACAATGTCGCTTAATTTTTTTATCGGATAATTTTATATAGATATCCGCGTGCGAATTCTCCGTTTTGCGTCTGAGAAAACACAAGCTTTATTCAAATCCTTTTTGAGTCGACGAATAATCTTTGCCGATTACACGAAGAAAAATATCCGGAGGATATACATTACGATATTTATTATGATTGTATAATGCTTCGTGTTTCGATGAAACCGACATTGAATGTACTAAACCGGTGAAATATATCCCAGCATTTGTATACGTATGTATGCACAACTAATATTGTGATAAGACTTAGCTTAACGCGGCAAAACGGTCGTACATTCTTCTTATCAAAATTACGTTCAAATAGCGACGAGGTGAAGAAAAAGTTTCGCTTTCGACAGTACGACTTATGCGAAATGCGTTGTTTTA